ATATATATTATGTAATTAAAGTTAACTAAATATTTCCTTTAAAAAAATAATTAAATCTTTTAGTGAGTTGTTATAAATAAAATTACTAAATTGCCCTTTTTTACTTTACTTAAGAAATATCCTTAAATATCTTTAAATGAGTGGTTCACATTGGATCTCACAGTTATCACAAACTACATAAGTCTCATTTGATTCGGCCCCTATATATGTGTGTATGTGTGTATACGAGGAGAAGTTCATTTGAGTAGTAAAGAAGTGATCCTTACTCTTCATACGGTCAAAATTGGTCAAGAATTACAGCCTTCAGTGGTCAAGCGAAATATAGAGGAGTAGTTTCGTAATCTTAACAAATAGGCGGTAAACAAGTGCATACGTGAATCATACAAGTTTATATGTGAATCAATTAAATAGTTCATATGTGAATCACACGGGTTCACATATGAACATATAGTTCATATGTGAATCACACGGCTTTACATATGCACTTGTTTTGTCGCATGTTTGTAAAAGTTACGAAACTACCCCTCTATCTTCCGCATACCATGCGAGGAATTATCCGATTCTTCACAATCAAATCCCAAATCTTAACCAGATGTAAGGTTAAGATCACTTCCCTACTTTTCAAATACTTACCACTTTTTAAATTAACCTATTGCTATAAGTATGTATAGGTAAAGAATGATACAACTCAAAGATCACAACAAAAATGAGATATGGATACACATCACCCTTTAACTTTATTACAACATCCCACCATCATTCAAAATACCTAAACCCCTTTTGTACTCCTTACCTATTCTCTAAAGTAATTAATGACATATTTAATTCAACATATTCAAATTCTTATAACACAAGAAATTTGTGTTTTAGATCGAGAACGAGAGGTAGGGGTAAAGGGTCGAGCTGTATTTCGCCAAATCAAGAAAAGACGAGAGGTAAAAGTAAGACGCAACCTCGTGTGACACAACGGGCTAACGTGGATGACAAAAGACAGTGATGAGTTTCGATTAGTAGCGATATATGGATGACAACAGAAGATTTGCGTGTATTTCTTATGCAAAACGAATACAAATGTATGTGATGAAAGCCTCTGTGTACTGCTTTAACAAGCCAATAATTGAACAAGGAAAAGCAAGATCATGTCATACTTAAAGATACGCATACATGGTACATCTACCCTTATTCTTTAGTCATTGAAATGAATATACGAAGCAAGTAACAAGTGCCAAATGCGACAACTATTCATCATAATCATATGACCGTAGCCTACATATGCACGCACTCATAGAAACATGCAACGATATGTATGTATAGACGTCATCTCTAGGTTTCGAGAATCTTCGTATCATGTATCTACTTGCATTAAACTTCATGTTTCCGTGCCTTCTCGAGTCTAATCATCTTGCATAGAAGTACAACTTACACGTTGAATATATATGGTATTTGACTGTTGGAGTCAAAAATTGAATACACTTGAACTGTTTTTTCTCAATATATATTGGAACCTCCTTTATCTCAAAAAAAGCTCATCTGAAAAGTAATTTAATAGGGTTTTGACATAATTTGACATGATATCAAAATCAGATTTTGACCATTTTAGAGACTCGATCATTTAAAAATCTTTTAACTGTCTAGAAATACTGAAAATATATTATTTTCCTTTTTCACATAATTTCATTATTTTATATCGTATTTGATTTGATTTTTTCTTATATGAAGTAGATATGAACAAATTGGAATCTTGCCTTAAAACCAACACTAAAATACTTGGTACTAAGGGGCCGTTTATCAAATATTTACCCGGTAAGCGCTTATCGGTAAAATTTAACACTATCATTTATTTACTGGGAAAAATTTTAGTCCACCAAAACGATATCGTATGCAACAATTTACCCGGTAAGCGCTTACCGTGATAAGAGTCGTCGCCCTCACTTACCAGGTAAGACTCTTGGTCCTTGTCTTGTTTTCACCGGGTAAGATTCTTGATCCTTACATATTCATCCGATAAGGTAATGTGACTTGGTGTTTGCTTATTTGAGTAAGTAGTTGGTAAATAGCCCATAAGTGGCCCAATTTGGGTCTTTGAAAAATAGAAAGGTAATTTATTAAAGAGTAAATTACGTTTTTCGTCCTTGTGGTTTATTACAAATTACGGATTTTATCTTGTGGTTTTAAAGATTCATTTCTATTTTCGTTCATGAAGTCAAAACACTACTTTTAAATATGAAAAACTAAAATAGAAACGAATTTTAAACCATAAAAACAAAAAAGACAATAAATTATAAACTATAAGGACGAGAAAGTAATAAATTATAAACCATAGCAATTAAAATCGTAATTTCAAAACCATAAAAATAAAAATAAAAATTTCTAACAAATTACAGGAATTAAAAACGTAATTTAGGGGCCGTTTACTAAACACTTACTTGGTAAGTGCTTAACGCATAAATTTCCTCATCGAATGAACATGAGAAGGGTCAAGAATCATGAGAAGGATGGAGAGTCTTACCCGGTAAGTGAGGATGACGACTCTTACTCAGATAAGCGCTTACCTAGTAAATTGTTGCATTCGATATGCTTTGATGTACTAAAATGATACGTATCTAAATGTATTATAATATTGACTCTTATTGGTAACCGCTTATCAGATAAGCATTTGGGTAAACGGCCCCTTACTCTTTATTGAAAATAATCAATTTAAAATGTCCTAGAAAAGTGCATCATTTTGTTTGTAACTTATGAATTTTACACCTAAATCTAGGGGTTCTAAAAAAACCAGACTAACTCGACCAACTTAGTCAATCCAGTTTGAGATAATATAATCTAATTTAATCTGAAGTTACTCAATACTTACCCAAGTTGTAAAATATCCAACTGAGGATATTGGATTGGAATTGAGTTAGGACTATTTTAACCCAACTCAACCTGATACTTTTTGATATCATGGATTTAACTGATTGTTAAATCATTAATTAAAAAAAATATAATTGCTAGTTTTATTTTATGTTCTCTTTTTTATTTTACTTCGTTTAAATACAATCATTTAGTTAGATTGTAAAATGTAAAATCATATACCAAAGTTTCAACCCAACTGGTGCAATTTGGATTGTGTTGTACTTTTGTTTGAGTTGAGATTTTTCAAACTGTAAATATGTGGTTGTGTTGTTCAAATGTCTTCGATCAGACTAATCTAACCCGTTTGGAGGTCTAATTAAATTATTGAAGATAACGACCATTGATTCCTTCTAGTAAACATGTTTGTGAAAGTTTGATTATTTTTTATGAAATTATTTGATTTTTTTAAACGGTTTGACAAATAATGGAAACAAAAACACACACACAGTGTATAAATACGTTTTAGAGAAAATTCTTATATCATCCGATGAAGCATCAAAGTTACGAAGAGAGATTTTTATCGACAAATCTATTTTGACGGATTGGCCGAAAATCTCTAAATTAAAAGTGACAAACATGAATATTTATTCCATAAGTGAAGCATCACTGCTAATTACGTACAGTTTGCGTATTAAAGGGAATCCTAAATAAACAAAAAATCGAGAAAAAGATGTTCAGAGACAAATTACAGGGCTCCGGATCAAGGATTTTAGGGCCGACCGTCAATTGATTCTGAATATGAAAATCGAAATTATCTCCATTTCCTATTTCATCTCGAAGAACGAAGGTAATTTCATCTCTCAACAGATTTTTTTATGGAGGTGCTACCCGAGGGCTGGTGCTAGGGTTCATGAGAGAGATGAAGTGGGAACTCACAGATCTGTCGTTTTTTACTAAAATCTATTATAATGATTGATTAAAAATCTGAAACCAAACACCACTTTTCATTCCATTTCCATTCCTGATTTGAACCAAACATGATCAATGCTTATCATTTCTATTCATTACCTTCTAATACCTTCGACCAAACTCCACCTTAATGGTCGTTTACCCAAACATTTACGGGTAAGAATTAACACTCTTAGGGACCGTTTACCAAACGCTTAACGGCAAGAGTCACCATCCTTATTTTATCAAGCAACATTCTCAACAATCGAAATGTATCGTTGGTAAATGTGCTTTTTGTACATAAATGCTTACCGGATAAGATTCTTGATTATTGTCATGCTTGCCAACTAAATAAGTGACACCCAGGTGTAATATGACCTTAAAAATTAGTTTTTTTTTTTAAATAAGAACCAATAAAATAATCGTTACATTGCTTTAATCTAAGAAAAACACAATATATATATATATATATATATATAGATAGATTTGGGACCAACCTGTTTTCGTGAGACCCATAAGACCATCTTTTTACACTTGAAACTTCACAACAAAACACTGTGAAGGTGTTTTTGCTGTGAAGTTTCGGATTTTTTTTACCTTCACCATGAATTGCTGTGAAGTTTTAAGTGTAAAAATGTGGTTTCACGAAAGCAGGCTAGTCTCACGTGAACCCAATCCTCTCTCTCTCTCTCTCTCTCTCTCTCTCTCTCTATATATATATATATATATATATATATATATATGAGGTAATACAAAAATATAACATCTAAATTGCCCCAACTTATATACCAAAATACAAGCTAAAAAATTCAAATAACAATTGCTAATGGGTAAAAACATAACATCATGAAATCGGCCTAACGAGTCGAAACGTAAGGCATCCATTAAAGCTCGCTTTTGTTAGCCAAAATACGTAAAAAGATATTCTAGCTCATATGGAAATGGTTGTGAGAAGGGCTGGATTTGAATCCAAAGACCATGATACGGAAACTCTAACCCCTTTTTGCTCAGACAATTTAACAGTAGAGGTTGAATTTTGACAATTATGGCCAAACTAAATAACTTTGGATAACCGATCCCATCCAATCTAATGAATGATTGGATTGGAACAGATCGGTTACAACTTCCATCCACTTTCCTCTCAACAAAAGTTTAGAAAGAGCCATTGGCCAGACAGTACCCGATAACCCCACCATCCTAGAGGTCAGTTAGGGGGTTCAAGTCTTACCAAAGACGAAAAGTGTGTGTAGGTTTAATTTGTCGTATATAAATATTACATACTTAAAAAGAAGTTCAATGATTATGCAAACAGACATCAAAGACCATTGTTCATGCATAATACACAACCTTAACCAAAAAATAGGCATTTGAAAACCATATAAACATGTGATCACAGTCGCTTAGTCATCTTGAGGCCAGAAACAAAGGCTAGGCCCTGGGGCTCCTCCGATAGGTCACTATTTCGAGTCTCCTCAAGGTCATTGTGCATGAGTAGGGTCAATTTTAGTTTTTGTATAAACCCGTATTGACAGAACCTACATGAGCCAAACCAAGGCTCGAGCTTATACAAATCTCTAGTGCGATATGAGTAGGGTCTGGATAGGATAATGATGTAACAGACCTTACCTCCACTGCGAGGAGTAGAAATGTTGTTTCCATGAAACCTGATTCTATGTTGTATTTGGCAAATCCTCCATAAGCCCTATACAAGATTCCCACCATCATCAAACAGCCACATAAATGTTAGTAAAAGCCAAGAGGTAAGAGCTAGTACATGATTGCTTCTTTAATTTACCTTTGGTCTTTTGAGTTAAGTAAACAAAACTTCAACAACTGGCTTTTGGCCCAACTGGTACGAACCGAGTCTCTTGAGCCAGTGGTTATGAGTTTAAAGCCCGAAGTTGAAAGGGTGTATCATTGTCTAAATAAACGAGACTTTTGGCTCAACTGGTACGAACTGAATCTCTTGAACCAGTGTGTTATGGGTTTAAGACTCGAAGTCAAAAAGGGTGTATTATTGTCCAAAAAAATGGAACTTTTAACTGAATTAGAACTAAAGGTAAAACAATCAAGAAAAGGTTGTTTATTCCTACCATAACATAACTGAATTCAATTTGTACCCATTTCTTCTACAAACATTCATGTGAAGCTACTATATTTGCATGCAACCTTTCCAATGAAAATTGCAACCTTTCCACTTTGGGAGAGTCTTGCTTTTTGTCAACTAAAATTACCCATTTGCGCAATTGTCGCTGTTACAAAACTACTTAAAACAACATTGATCTTGGTCCACTAGGTTCACTTCCATTTGCAAATTAAACCAAACCAAACCAAACCGAACGAGCCCAGTATATCTCATCCAGAGGTGGGGTTCCTAGGGGAAGAGTTGAGATGTAAACAACACTGACCTCTACCCCTCTACCCAAAAGAGTAGAGTGGTTGTTAAAATGAGACTCCATTGTACACATCTAACTATCAATCAAACACTTCCTCGTATATGCTTGAGATAATTGTTGCAATTTTTAGGAACGAAATGAGTATTAATTTGGTAATGACCACCGCCTACACGACTACCATATGAGAACTATGACTAGACCATGTATTTAGATTATAATCATGCTTTGTTGAATATGATTCTCTAAGACTTTCAAATATTCAGAAAAAAATCTGAAACTTAAAGACTGACAATATGAATCGAAGTACCTGTTTGGAGATTGGTTCAGAATGAAGAAAGCTTTCCGATGCATATGATATGATTTAACGCCATGAACATCTCCCAAATAGAAGAAAAGCGGAAAAGAATACATGCCCAAAAATCTGGACAAAGCCGTTTTCATATTATACAATCGAATAAACTTGCCTTTTCAAATTCTCATAAATCTCGATGCCTTTAGGGTGACGATTTACCATGCCTTTGATGAATTTTTTTTCTGAGCAAGCAAGAATGGTGCTCAAAGCCAAGCTATTAGTTGTTCCTTGTTCATGTAGCCATTTATACATGGTGCACCTGAGTTTAACCTTCTCTATAGCGTAAGATAATGAAGACGGGTAGGTAGCTATAGAAGACAAGGGATAACCTAAATAATTCACAAGAAAATCAATCTTCATTTCAAGAACTTCCGTTGTTTGGTTGACAACTTGAGGTGATGTTTTCAGCATCTCCGCCACATCTTTTTGGTCAAAACCAACATTCACCAAACAATCAAACCGTTCTTGAAGTTCCCCTGCTCTTCCACGGAATCTCCTAAGAGCTCTTTTCATCTCACTCGAGTTTTCAGTGAATCCCATGTCCAACAAGAACTTTGTCTTCTCTAAAGCACCTTCTTTTAAGGATGGTAGTGGTTCAACTTTCAACCCAAGAGCCAAATTCTTTAACTCTTGTGGGTTCTTCTTGATGATTGTACAAAGTCGTTTTTTACCAGAATTCAAGCAATTTAAAGCGGTTTTCACACCCTTCAATGGGCATGAACCAAGTAAAAGGGGTTGTGCACATAGAAGCTTTGAAATGCTATGGACATCCATTTCAATCTTCGAGAGAAAATAATATGAACGCCTCAAATTTGAAACAAACTCATGGATCTTTAGTTCAGGAAACTGCAGAAACAAGGCACGTATCTCGTTCTTAGAGGCACCAAATTTAAGTAAGAAGCCAATAATTGAAGTGGCGGTACTTCCTGAATTCTGCAATAAAATGGTAGGATGTTTATGAAATAATCTTCCTAACTGCTCATGATCAAAGCCTAATCTCTTAAATAAACACAAAAGTTCAAGCATGTGTTTCCAATCGTAATAATCTTCCTCCGATAAGTGCTCAATAAACCAACCATTCACAATCCCAGCAACCTTTAATTCTGTCACAACCTTAAGAACAACATCATGTGTTCCATCCTCAATCAAAATAGATGGACACGAACCCACAAGTTTAATAACAGTAGATTGATCAAGAACCACATTCTGAAGATCCTGAAGCCGTGACAACAAAACCCCATCATTATATCTAAAAACTTCTTTAACTTCCTTATAAATCTTTCCTATCTTATTAGGAGCAAAACCATACTGACAAAATACATGATAGTTCTCTAGCAAAACATTGTCATCACTTAAAAACATCAGGTTACGAGGCAAAAGCATTGAAAACTCACGAGGTTCCAAACCCATGCTCTCAAAAAATGGCTCGAATTCGTTGATGGGATGGTACCGCAAGAATCGGGCAACTGACTGCCCAACACTCTCTTTGTTCTCAACCCCTTTCAGTAACTTCCCAAGAAACCTAGGTGAATTCCGACTAATATTTTCTGCATCCATAAACTGCAAACTTCTAGTAGAATGCAAGTACTCTAACAAAGCATCCTGAGCTTCTCGACAAGCTACACGAGACCATAAACCTACATTCCCATCATCTGCAAGCAACTCATTCAACTTTTGAGTGTTTTTCGTCTTACAAGCTGATTTTGTGCTATAAAACCTAGGGTTTTGGATATCATGGTATGACCCAGTTGAGTAAACTGCTTTTGTATTCAAATCAACAAATACCCATCTGAGCAAAGATGATCTTTTAAGATTCTGGATATGATACATGAATTATTTTACAAGTTTTGACAAGATATTGATGAATGCGAGCTTCAAGAAAAAGGCAAATATTTATCGATGTATAAGCAGATACAGAGGTATGGAGATGAATTTTTACCTTGATATTCAAATAGTTTTTGTGAACTGGAAAGCTCGGGTTGTCGCCATCATTGTTGGGTTATGGATACTAATGCAGTGGTAGCCATTAGAGAGGCTCTCAACGAGGGTTTCTGGGTTCTGTGCTACTGCATTTGGTGACATTTTGTATGTTCTTTTTCTATCCCAAACGTTTTAGAGAAAGACAAATTGGACCTTGTGGTGTACGAATTACATAGAGCATCCCTTGACTGGCAAGATTATAATTTTTGAGTATCTGTAACATATTTTTCAAAATTAAGGGTGTTTAAAAAAACTATTGGATCGTTCAAACCGACCGACCCAAGTCAAACCGGATCGTTTTTGATGGTTTGAGCAGTCTGCCAGTTTGGTCTGGTTTGGAAAATAACAAAATCGGACCGTTTTTTATGGTTCTATCGATATTTCCTAATCCATGGTTTGATTTCGGCGCACATCATCAAGACATCAACCAAGTGATTCAACCAACTAAGATTTGGCTTTATTTTGTTTAGTCAAGAACTCAAGACTCAAGAATTGAAGGTTATGAAGTGTTGGATTTTGTTACTTAATACTCACAGTGGAGTCGTGATTTTGTTAATTTGTTTGTTTTCTAATATGTTGTAATGCCCCAACCCACACATTGCATGTAATACATATTTCATACAAAGGAAATACATATTATTATCTCATTCAGGTCCCTTAGTACAAGAATCTAACATAACCAATTACAAGGTCCAAAAATTTAAAAATACATATCTTGCACTAATTAAACAAAACATATCTTCAAGCAGAAGCGCATAAAGAAAAATATTACATATTCCCTTTCCCCTTACTGTCTGAACCTCCTGCAACACATAGTTTAAAATCACAAAACGAGGGTTAGACCAAAAGGTCCAGTGAGATACCCTATTTATGTTATTGCAGGGTGAAAAGTCACCAAAACCTTTAGGGAAAATATCATTTCATATATATAACAAATATATGAAATAAATAGAAATGTAATACTAGATCTCTTCCATTTATCAAACAAAGCATTCTGCTTATTCAAATCTCACAACTCTGAACCCATCAGGTTCCACATAATGTCACTTTTAAACCTTTTCTTAATCAACAAGGTTATTTCAAAGCTTCAAGCCAAACCTGACATTTTCTCCTCAATAACATCCAAACTATGATTTCCAATAAGAACCTTGATCCTAATTCTTTAAGTCACAAAGAAATAAAGAACTCCGGATCACGGTAATCTTAAAAGATATAATAGAATGAGTTATCTCATATAACATACATACAAATGTCACCCTTATATCCAAAGGTACACCTCTCCTTGAAATGTCACCCTTATCCCATGATACACCTCTCCTTGATATACCATCTCTCCTTTATATGTCACCCTTATTTCCTCATCAAAACATTTATAAAGTTAATTCCGAATAGACCACAGCCATTGGAATTATTAATATCAGTCCAAAATCATTTATATCAAAACTTCATTTTATAATAAAATAATAATTTCCATCAAAATATTTTCAACATAATTCGATCAACAATCCGGTTAAGCATCATCCGATTTAAACACTTAGAATTAAAATCATCTTTGTTCGGATATCTAGTCCGGACAACAATCCGCTCAAGACTTGTACGATTTAAACTAACCGGACAATAACCCGCTCAAGGCTTATCCGGTTTAAATACTTATTCGGTCAATAAGCCGCTCAAGGCTTATCCGGTTTAAATACTTATTCGGTCACTCTTTGACCGGATAAACACTTAAAACAAAAATATGCAAGGTTTCTTTCTAAAGAATAATAACATGAAACATGCAAATAAAACCAGTAGTAATTTTATGCAAAAAGGTTTAGAAACCACTCACCTTAACAAGCTTTTGAAACCAAAACACTTGAATCTCCAGATACTTGAAATTCCTCTTTTGAAATCCGGTCAACTCTTTTCTCAATTTTACTCAAAATGGCAGGAAGAAGAAATGAAGAGGTTAAGCCCCTTATATATACCTTCCAAACATGGAAGGTCGGCTAAACCGCCTTTCTTCCCCCCTTTTTCCATCGCATGCATATACATGCACACATATACATACATCCATGCACATAACAAGCATATATATATATATATATATATCTTTATCCAACTAATGCACAAATTCACATACCAGCATGTATCAATTTATCATGCTATCACGTAATCATTTAATCAGATAATCACATATTATTTACCTTGGGTAATAACCAGGATCCGGTTATTACATTATCCACCCCTCAAAAGAATTACGTCCCGGAATTCCTTTAATCAAAAAGCCATGGGTATTCTGATCTCATTTTAGACTCTAATTCTCATGTCGCTTCTGGTCCTTTGTGAAACTTCCACTGAACCTTTACTAGACTTATTTCTTTATTTCTTAACACCCTGATCTTTCGGTCAATTACGGCTTCTGGTGTTTCTACAAAATTCAGCTTACTGTCTAATTGAATCTCTGGTAATGGTATAGCTAGATTTGGATCCGCCAAACATTTACGCATATTCGATACATGAAAAGTGTTGTGAATCTGACTCAGCTCTTCTGGCAGCTCTAACTGATATGCTACTAGCCCAATTCGTTTACATATTCTGAACGGCCCCACATATCTTGGACTGAGCTTCCCTTTCTTTCCAAATCTGACGACACCTTTCCACGGCGAAACTTTTAACATTACAAAATCACCTATACCAAACTCAATCGGCTTTCGACGATTATCTGCATAACTTTTCCGGCGATCTTGTGCTGTTTTGATTCTTTCGCGAATTTGTTCGATCTTTTCAGAAGTTTCTTGAACAATTTCAAGACTCGTTAACTGTTTTTCACCCACTTCATTCCAATACAACGACGTTCGACATTTACGTCCGTATAACACTTCATATGGTGCCGCTTGAATACTGGAATGGTAACTATTGTTATATGCAAACTCTATCAATGGCAAATGATCTTCACATGATCCCCCGAAGTCAATAATACACCTTCTTAACATATCTTCGAGAGTTTGAATAGTTCTTTCACTTTGCCCATCAGTCTGCGGATGATAAGCTGTACTTAATCGGATTTCAGACCCCAGAGCCTTCTGTAATCCTCCCCAGAACTTTGAAGTAAACCGAATGTCTCTATCATAAATAGACAAGGGAACTCCGTGTCTGGTAACAATTTCTTTAATGTAAATCTGCGCTAGCTTTTCTAAAGAGTATTTCTCTCTTATTGGTAGAAAATGTGCAGATTTAGATAAACGATCCATAATTACCCAAATCGCGTCATACCCCTTCGGAGTTCGTGGTCATTTTATAACAAAATCCATGGTGATGTTATCCCATTTCCATACAGGTATTTCCAAAGATTGAAGGCTTTCATAAGGTTTCTGATGTTCAATCTTAACCTGTAAACATGTTAGACACTGTTCCACATATCGAGCTATGTCTCTTTTCAATCCTGGCCACCAATAAAAGGGTTTCAAATCCCTATACATCTTATTGGTGCCTGGATGGATAGAGTATCGGGATTTATGACTTTCATTTAATATCATATTTCAAATATCTCCAAAATATGGTATCCAAACTCGTCCTTGAAAGCATATTAACCCTTCATCATTTTGTTCTAAGTTTGAAATCATCTTACCCAACTTTTCTGATTTGATAAAATCTTCTTTCATTGCTTCCTTCTGACATCTCAGAACTTTTTCATGAATATCAGGGACTAAACTTATTTTCATTGCCACAGTTTTAATAGTCCCGCTTCTTTCTTTTCTACTTAAAGCGTCGGCTACCACGTTGGCTTTTCCTGGGTGGTAAAGGATTTCACAGTCATAATCATTAACAAGTTTAATCCACCGACGTTGTCGTATATTTAAATCTTTATGGCTGAACAAATGCTGTAGACTCTTATGGTCTGTGTAAATTTGACACTTTGTTCCTAGAAGATAATGCCTCCAGATTTTCAGTGCAAATACCACTGCAGCTAACTCCATATCATGAGTTGGATATTGTTTTTCATGTTCTTTCAATTGTCTTGATGCATAAGAGATTACTTTTCCTCTTTGCATTAAAACACATCTCAATCCCAACTTTGAAGCATCGTTGTATACCACAAAGTCTTCAGATCCATCTGGTAGAGTCAACACTGGTGCGCTACAAAGATGATCATTTAATAGTTGTAAAGCTTCTTGTTGTTCTTTTTCCCACTGAAACTTAACATTCTTTCGAGTCAATTTGGTTAACGACACGACTATTTTAGAAAAGTCTTGAATAAACTTTCGGTAGTAACCTGCCAAACCCAAAAAGCTACGAACTTCAGATGGAGTCTTTGGAGCTTCCCATTTTTCRACTGCTTCTATTTTCATTGGATCTACTTGTACTCCGGCTTTTGAGATAACATGACCCAAAAATTGAACTTCTCTTAACCAGAACTCACACTTGGACATTTTAGCATACAACTTTTCTCTTTTCAATAATTCTAGTATCAGACGAAGATGTTTTGCATGTTCTTCTTCAGTTTTAGAGTATATAAGAATATCATCGATRAATAYAATAACGAATTTATCAAGATATTCCTTACATACCCTATTCATCAGATCCATAAAAGCTGCAGGTGCATTAGTTAAGCCGAATGGCATAACTAAGAATTCATGATGCCCGTATCTTGTCCTGAATGTTGTTATGGCAACATCTTCTTCCCTGACTTTAAGCTGATGATATCCTGACCTCAAATCGATTTTGGAGAAATAACTTGCTCTCACCAATTGATCAAACAAGTCATCAATCCTTGGTAAAGGATATTTGTTTTTAATTGTCAACTTATTCAGTTCAAGATAGTCTATACACATTCGCATAGACCCATCCTTTTTCTTAACAAATAAGACCGGAGCACCCTAGGGCGAAGTGCTAAGCCTAATAAATCCTTTATCAGTTAAATCTTTCAATTGTGCCATCAATTCTTTCAGTTCAGATGAAGCTAAACGGTATGGCGCCTTTGCTACTGGTGCAGCTCCTGGTATAAGATCGATTCGGAATTCAATAACTCTATCTCGTGGTAATCCATATAAGTCTTCCC